TGTGTTCATTTTGTGAAATTTCAGGGTTTTGCTGACAAGATGTCTCCTATCTGATGTTGGGCAGATCCTAGGAGCTTACATCATTCCTGTATTAAGCTACAAATCAAAGCTATTAGTGGCATGGTTCTCCACCACAGTGGTATAATAAAATCACCTGGGAGCTGGATACATAAGTAGAGTGCTTGGGTACTGCCACCTTGTGTACAGTGTTTGCTTTGCAACAGGACAAAGGGAATATTTTTATGTTAAAAAAGCAAAATAAAAAAAAAAATAAAAAAAGCAAAATAAAATGTTAAAGATGTGTTTGTCTCAGTCTTTGGGAGAGATAATGCATTTTTTGGTATAAGTGAATTGCATACATCTTAGAAGACTGTAAAAGGCAGTACCTCAGGGAAAGGTAAATATATTAGGGAGTGGTGGTTCTAAGTCATTTTGTTAGGACTGAAATGTGGGTTGTAAGTAACATCTTAAAAAACCCAGTTACCCATTTTGATGGAAATGAGGCTTTCAGGGCCACGTCCAGGTGGTGCTGCAGCAGGGTATGGAGAAGAAAGGTGGTCGGATGGTCGGGAAGAGCTAAGTGGGTAGGAAGTTGCAGGTTGGCTGAAAGGGCATGGGATCTTGCTGCTCACTCCAGAGCCCAGAGTTTCATCGGCTCTGTGGGGTTTTGCGTGGGCCCTCTCTGTGGGGCGGTCGAAACAGCAGCAGTGAGGTGCAGATTCACACTCCGGCTGTGCAAATCCCATCGGGTAACCAGGCACGAAGTATTCAGCCTCTCTCAGCTTTGGTTACTTTAAAATAAGGCAGGGTGGGGGATTTAGCTCAGTGGTTTCACCGGTTAAGGACCTAAATTGGATCCTCGGTACCAAAAAATAAAATAAGGCATTTGTCTAACTAGCCTCCCTTCAAAAGTTGAAAGGGTTGGGGTGGTTCTGTCGCCTGCATCGCAAGCACAAGGTCCTGAGTTCGATCCCCGGTACAAAAAAAAAAGTTTAAAGGGTTTGGAATATAACTCAGTAGTAAAGCATTTGTCTGCTGTGTTTTTAAAGGCCCTGGATTCAATCCCCAGGAGGAGAAAAAAAAAAAATTCTTTTTTTTTTTTTT